CACCCATTTACACCCAGCAACATTCATACTCGATGTTCGAGGAACTAGCTGCCAGGTATCATTGTGTGATGTAGAGCATCAATTTCTTCTTGCAGAGCTGCATACCAACTTGGATGTTTTGTAGTCATACAAATAGTTTTGGGCTCAATAGGAACATTAACAGTTGTCATGAAAAATTTTGGATTTGGTTTAACAATCCCAACCTTAGATCAAGTAATCATGGAATGACAACTCCTAGGATTGATGTGGTGCCTCAATTAAAGTGGCTTTAAGATAAAGTTGTGAGATTCATGTGCATTAATGAGATGAGTGCAATTAACTAAGGAAGTGGATTCTATGGGTCTTTCTTGTAGTGCTAGTGTGGAGTAATTTGTTTTGAGGTGATAAGGTGTCGCCTAAAGGTAAGATTTGATCTTGAGTCAAGGGCTTGTAGTACAAGTATTTTGATAAGTGGTAGATGAAGGATATTCAAAAACAAGTTGTGATATTGGTGCTTCAGTAAGCATCGAAAAATTGCTATCTAGCCTTTTCTCCATAAAAAATGTTATTTGAGTCGAGGTTGTCATTGTCTTACAGAGACATTAAGATTAAGTTAGAGATATAAAACACAATCCCAAGATTTTGAAATGGAAATACACCTTCATAAAGAAACATTATGACAGTGAGATATTTATACGATCAGTAGGAGGATACAGGCATCAATATCCTATTAATTGATGGCTATATCCAAGAAAGACACATGGAATGGATTGAGGATCAAGCTTAGACTTTGCATGGAGATATGGAAAGCACCTGCAACCAAAAACTAGTCAGGACGCAAAATTTGGTGTTTTTACCAAACAAATTTTCATAAGAAGATTTCATAATGTAACAGTGAACGACTGATTAGCCAAACAACATTGCCAAAAGCTTCAAGCCAAAATCTTTTAGGTAACCCTCCATGAAATAACATAGTTAAACCAAGTTCTATAATACTCTGATACTTGCCTTCTGCTAACCCATTTTGTTCCAATATTCTAGGACATGATATTTGATGACGAATTCCATGCTTGGCTAAGTAACGGTGAAAATTTGTCTTCAAATTGTCCAACACCATCAGATCGAAAAACTTTGATTTTTTTTATGAAATTGTTTTTGAATAAATGTGTGAAAGTCTATAAAGCACTTTAAAAACAATCATTTTTGCGTTTTATTGAAAAAAAAACCATGTAAACCGAGTGCACTCATCAATAAGGATAACATGACAGTGAAATTCTTTAAAACTCACTGGGGATGGTCCTCATAAGCCACAACGAAATTTAGCGAATGGTTCATCACAAAATTCATTAGAAGCAAAAAAAGAAAAAAAAAGTTAAATAATCTACATGCCTTGGCCATATTACTAGAACTTTGAATAAGTTTATTTCTGTCCGAGTACTTGACCACTTGAAATTGAGGGTGACCTAATCGTTGGTGCCAAGTCTTGGTACTAACTACTCTGAATCGCTTTGAGAATAAGGCTACTCCATGTGTTGTTGAAACACATAAAGATCATTACTTTGAGTCCCTGTGGCAATCACTGATCTTGTTCTCCTATCCTTTATCACAAATCTTTCAGATGAGAATTCAATATTATAAAGAAAATTAGTAGTAAGTCGACTAACAAAAAATATATTCTTTTTAATATCAAGCATAACTAGCACATTATCAAGCTTTATTTCATTAGTTTCAACATTTAATTTTATTGAACCTAAATTAGTTATATCAATAAACTCACCATTTCCAACCATTATTTTCTCAAGACTATGATAGGGTATAATTAAATTAAGGTTACCAGGATCGGAGGTTAAATGAGACCTTGTCGTTGTGTCAGGAAACCACGCATTGTTTGGATTTTCAACTATGGATAATGCTGCACATTGTTAAGGAATATCTTCTAATTGACATGCATGATTAAATCTCTGATGGAATTAAAAAGCAGTGTGTTTTGCCTTCTTGCATATTTGACGCACTAATTTTGTCTTTCTCTAACTTAGAATTATTGTGAGAAGAATTGTCAATTTGATAAAAAGAGGAACCTCCATGTCTAGTTGAGAATTGGCCAAAATGGGTGAATCTTCGTCCCTTGATTGTGAACTGATTTAGTAGCCATCGCCCTCTCAATTTCCTCTTCCGTTGAACCTTGAAGGCAACACTATGGTTGGCTCCAATAACTGATTCTGAATTTATAGTTCGAATAATCTCATGACTTTGGAATTAACGTACCATTTAGTATAAGTTGGCCTTGGAGGTTTTAGCATGATTGTGACAAATGACTCATATTCATTTCCTAATCAAGTTAAAAGAGTAAATATTTTGTTTTTGTCACTCGTGACCTTTCCCATGGCTGAAAATTCATCACATTTATTTTTAAAGATTCTGATATATTCTGACATAGAATGGCTGCCCTTGTGATGGCGACGAAGTTTTTGCTCTAGAGCAAACTCATGCTTTTTAGTGCTTTGAGCGAATGCGTTCAATAAAGCTTTCCAAACTTCAGCGGACGTATCAAGTCCAGCAACAATGCCAAGAGTCTCTTCGGCTATGTACTAATGATCCAATCACGAAGTAAGCAATTCGACTTTCACCGTACTAAATAATGCGAATTAAATGTCACACACTTTGTTGCAGCAACTTCATCTATAGACATTTCTAGGTACTGCTATGGCATAGAAAAGCTACTATCAATAAAATCAATCATGTCTTTTGACTCAATAAGCCCCATGATTTGGGTTTTCCAGAGCAGAAAATTGGCTTCTTTGAGTTTAAGTGATTCAAAGTTTCCAAAGTTAGGGGTAAGGATACAGTGATGTTTGAGAAGCCATGATGATTGTTGAAGGATGAAAAAAAACTGAGGATAAATTTCAGTGAATTTCATGAAAGCTCTGATGCTATGAAAATTTTAAAATTTTGATGTAAAACTCACTAGAGCCTGAGTTGTTCTTGTGCTAAACTGAGTTGTTCTTAAAAATAGTAAATATATATTTTAATAAGGCAATTATGAATACGCTATCCTCTCTTTGATTATATGTGTAGAATATGTAATTAATATAATATACAGTACAAATCTCAAGAGTTGTCGTTTTTTTTATTATATCACATTTTCGTACAACATAAGTATTTCGCAACCAAAGTCCAAATATGTTACATGGGTGCTTGCGCGCAGTTCAAATTTGTTTTGGTTTGTCATTTTTATTTATCAATATTTTGTTAAAAATTTTATCCAATTTAAAAAAAAAAAAAAGGACAAAAGGTAAAATTAAAAAAAAAAAAAAAAAAAACCCAAATGAGAGTAACATATGAATACATAAATTGATCTCTTATTCTTATAAAATATATTTTATTTTTGTGTGAGACTCATTTAATATCAAATTTTCAACAAAAAAAATTGATCAATATATATAAATATAAAATCAAGTATCATAAATTTGCTTTTAATCCATCCCTTATTCTATAAAAAAAAAAAAAATTGACTTGAATTGATTTGATTTTTTTTTTATAAAATTACACTTATATAAAATCGAAACAAATAAAAACATATTAAATACTAATTGTTTTACTATTTTTATCTACCGGAAAAAAAAAAAAAAGAAATTCAAACATATGGTGTATACTTGATATCAAGTGGATCTAATGTAAAAAATAAATCTTTAAAAAATTAATTAAATTAAAAAAATAATAATAGAAGAAAAAAAATGTGGATCTCACATGTAAAAAATTTAAATCTTTTTAAAAAATAGTTGTTAAATATTTAAAAATATATATAAATAAAGAAACAACAAAAAAAAAAAGGATGAAAAAGAGCCACGTGACATCCTTAGAGGAAGTCAATCTTTGGTCAAAATGACCAAAATTTGTTATAAATGCGCAAAATGCAATCCTTCTTCGCTAACAAAAATATATTAAAAAAAAAGGACATGGAATTTCGGTAAGACTCAACCTTTTATGTGTCAAATAAAAAAATACGACATGACAAAAAGTATTGTGGATTGGTAAATAAGTTTTTAAATCACAATAATTTGATAAAAAAAATTAATATGTAATATAATGGTAGATATTTCAAAATTTTTCACTTCTTCAGCTTATTTACATGCTCAACTGCTCACTATGTTCAATTGTATATACTTTCACCAAGTTGAAATGTAAAAAAAAACAAAAGATGCAACTGATTTAGGTGTGAGAAATATAAAGTTTTAACTGAATAAAATGATGATTAATTGAAATTTAATTAAATCGAAATCAATTTGTTTGGGTTTAACAGTTTTCTCCATTGAATAGTTAGTTTAGTCGGTGTAATTGATTAGTTTGCTTGCAAATAGATCGATTCCTTTTTGCAAATGAATTGATCCATTTTGCAAATAAATTGATGTTTTTTAAAAATGAATCAATCCTTCTAGAAAATTACTTACATGCATTCGAAAAAACCTAAAACTTCAAAAAATAAATAATTTACTTATTTTAATTCAATTTACTTTAATTTTCGCTCTTTTAATCTATTGATTCAAGTTTTTTAAAAATTAACTTATAATCAAATTAACCGAAACAGATGGATTGCTAACTCTATTAGATTATATCAAAGGAACAAAGCCAATTGGAAGCCTCAAGAGACATTAAAACGCATAAATCAAAAAATAATCCCAATTGTTCTAAAAAGATGGAATACTTTATTAAAAAAAAAAAAAAAAAAAAACCCCAAAAAGGGGGAGATTAGAGGCAAACGGTAAGTATCATGCATATCTCGCAAAAAGTCACAATTCAGTGGAAGAGGCTGTGAATACTTCAAAATCTAATCAAATTCTAGTACATAACCAATGTAAAATTGAAGGCTCTCCAAAACTTAAAATTCATGGCAGATTCGGACAGTCCTTAAACCCTATGAGTTAAGCTTACAACGTAAATAAAAACAACAAAGAAGGGGAATTACTTGACCACAAGCACAAAATTAATCAGCTCAACTAAGACTCTGGGTTCAGATTCAGACATTTTGTAACCAATCGTTTATTTAACACCTTAAATGAATCACATGGAATGGGCTAAATAGCAGTCAAAACAAATAAATTAGCATCTTCAATTGCAAATTGAGATATTTTACACATATATACACAATTATTATCCACCTACAGTTGTCCAGACGATCAACATGATGACATGCTTGCTACCAATTACATGAGCTAAACAACAACTAATTTTTAAAATAAAAATAGAAAAACAAAAACCATTTTGAAACAAAATAATTACGGACGTGGGCTGAGTATCAGAACTAGAACTACAACAAGGCACTTTTCACCGTATCTGCTTTTCCTATGCAAGGGATCAGAAATCCGATTTCATTAGCTTTGCTCGAGGCTTTATACAGATGTTGTCCAAGGGTTTCCCCTGTTCTACATGGATGTAATCTTTTGTCTTAAGAACCTGCAGTTTGGGGAAATTAACACCGAGAAAAAAAGAGCATAAGCAACGATTTTCCCCACCAGAGCAACCAAAAAAAAACTAGGACATCAATGGATGTCTCAAGCAAACTAACCAAACCTAACAATGGATGGTAAGATAAAGAGTATCCATCTAAAGAAAGTACATCTATTCATTTGTGTACAAATACTAAAACAAATTTTGCATTGGATCGCCACTTCTACTTGCAATTCCTTTTAAAGATTCAAAATTTTTTTATCCTTACTATTCATCATCCTGTTTCACAATAATGTCAGAATATCTTTCAAATTGCATTTGTTAAAAGGTCTCCAAAAGTGGCATTTGTTCTTCTATGAGAACATTTTGTGCATTAGTACTTCTGCACAAGTTGTGCACTTGAATACAGGCTTACAATGATAGGGTTTTCTTTTCAAGCCCATGTCTTCTCATTTAAAAAAAAATGAATAATGCCTTGTCACATAAAAAAAGAGAGATAAAATGATGTTTTTGACATAAATATACATGGCAAGGTTTTATATGCTTAAGTACTCTTAGTTGCAAATATTCTGCACTTCATTAATGTGTAGATGATAGTGTTATGCACTTTAAAAGTTACTATAAGACAAATTATTGTAGACATACCAGTGTTTCAAAAAACATCCTTGATGCTTCTTTACGTGTTTTACGAGCCAGTAGACTGTCCATAAAAAGTACCTTACGTCCATGTACAGCTTCATCCTCAAACAAATTTTGAAGATACTTAGCAACAGCCCTGACAGAAAGGGTATGAGCAAACATCAAGATGTGAGCTAGCCTCATTCCAGTTATTCAGGTACAAGAAATTATTTTCACAAGTAATGCTAAATTAATGTTGAAGTTAAAGGAAAAATGCAAACAACAGCTCAAATAATCAACTACAGGGAGCTTATAGACCTTGTACGAGAAGACCATCCACTATTTTCAAGAAGACGACTTTCATCACCACATGGCATACCATCATTATCATCCTCACCCAGCTCTTCATCATCTACATTCAGAAATTCTGAAAGGAAAATAAAGAAACAAATATTAACCAATTGCAGAGTCAGGATTGATTAAGTTGGGAGGAGGGGGAGGTATGGCGTAAATGAAAGTAATAGGCAAGACTTATTTTTAATAAAATATTAATATTTTCCTTTTGGGAGGAAACCTTTTGTGTGGCAATAGCTCCCTGTGGCCCTAACTATCTTCCACCCTGCCTACAACTTTCACAACTAAAATGAAATTTTCATGTCTAAAGAATAATTTATTCAGTCAAAAACTCTTAAGTCATTTCCTTCCAAAAATCAAATAAAATAATTTCAAGAAATACCCATCAACAATCAAAAGTAAAGCAAAACAGAAGGCAACAAGATCAAACCTGTATCATTTGCAACTGCAACATCCTCAAATTCCTGCACCCCAGAGGAACAAATAGTCATTTAGGGGATTCTTAATGCCTTCAAATAAGAAAGGCTAATGCCAAACAATTTTCATAGCAACATAATAAATTAATGAAAATAGCATATCGACTGAACAGGAATATGAAGTTGTAAGGAATGGAAAATTTATCAGAACTTTAAAATGTAGACCATGCCTTCTAGAATAGAAAATTTTTAAATATTCAACAGTAATTAAAATATATTTTAGAAAATAAGTTATTGCTCAAATATGGAAAAAGCCCAGTATTGATGCATGCATATACACTATCCTAATTATAGTTGACTTTCAGCAATAACATTAGAGCATAATTGAATTTATACAATGATATAAATTGCCATCAGTTAGATAAAAGTTGGAGCAATTAAATATTTTTAGATCAACACAAATGTGCTACATGTGTTAAAGAACTTACAGCTTGATTATCCACAATAGAGGTCATTTCTTCATTGACTGCATTAACTTCCTGAAAGGTTGGACTTTCTCCATTTAATGAAGCATTTTTCAGAACCATATCAACCTTTTCTGAATATGTAGAATCCAATTTACATTCTTCACTGCCCTTATAAATTGGGTCCTTGTCATCATGATGCAAGAGTGCACCCTCAACTTGAGCCTCATCTACGACACCAACCTTATCATATCCAGTTTCATAAGCATTTTGAGCACCATTCACAAACTCACCAGTTTGTATAGTTGCAAGAGAATTGGTTCCATTTTCAATAGGTGCACAGCAGTTTGCCATACTGACCTCAACTGATGTACTGGCTTTACTTTCTTCCAACAAAAACTGATCAGTTGCTTTTGATTCAGTTTCAGCTGCAATAATATTCTCAACATCGTGTTCTAAAACTTCAGTAGGATTATTTCCTGCAAACTCGTCCAGAAAAGAGTGATTTGCTGCATTAGCAACTTCAACATTATCTCTGTCAATTTCCATTTCCGTGATCCCATCTAAAGGTTCATGTTGCATAAGTTGAGGTACATCATCAACAGCATTTCTATCCTGCTGAGCATTCTGATCACTGTACTCACCCTGCTGAGTATCGGTCTGAATAGGAGTGCCAGCAGATTGTGCTTGCTCATCATTTCCATGAATCACAGGCACAGAGCTCCCTTCAATTCCACCTTCTTCAACAATATCAGTTCTGACAGAACACCCAGAATACCTAGCTACTTCAGATGATGCATGGTTTTCATCAGCTTCAGAAATCCTGATACCACTTAGGTCATATGTTTCACTGTGCAAACATGCCAAGTCGCCCGACACACCTGAAAGGTACACCAACAGTGAGCAACTTATAAAGTTATAATCGATGTGTTAGAATGTCCTCCATTTCAGAGGTAGAATCATTTCAAGCAACAACAATAAAATCAAGACAAGATGCAAAACCATTAGGATTCATCACTGATAAATCTTGTAGTCCATATAACTTTAGAACTTGAGTATGCATTCATAGATATGACATCAATACCACAAAACTGAACTCCACATCCCAAAATACTTGCAATTTACAAGCCAATAGGAAAAACAAATGTAGAAGTAGGGCCGTCTGGTTCTCACTAGGGCCTGAGGATGCACTAGACTAGACAAACATCTAGAATAAGTTAAAACTTTGCTCAATGAAAGCAAATCAAACTTGACCAGGCCTTCAGGAGATAAATTTACAGTTGTGTCAATAAATTTTCCTCTTGTAAAGGAGTAGCATATGGGGTGGAATTACAACATCCACTCTATAATTAATTAACAAGTTGAAATTCTTCATTTCTTTTTTTTTTTATTGACCCAACAAAAGCATGAAGATACAATTAACTTTCAGCAATTTGATCTCACCAGTAAATGTAGGTTCACTAAATATTTCTTCTTCCAAGAATTGTCTCTGAATCAATGAAATTTCAGGGCGAGTGCAAGGTGCTTTCTTGCGTATACGACGTATGTCTTCAGTATTAACCAACTGCTGACGTATTGTACTTGATATAAAAAAAAGGGAAATTAATCAGTACTTAACCGCTAGAGCCAAATTTTAAAATGCATAATTTATGGGGAAAAAAAAAAAAAAAAAACCATTCTAAGATTCAATTAATCAAAATAAATGCCACTAAAAAATATTTCATAATGTGCCAAGCTGACTGGAGAGAAACACAAACTGATCATATCTTAAGCCACTTATTGCAATGAAACCACACATGTCATACTACAAATAGATTGCTATGTTCTACAATTGGCAGGTAATCAAGAGTTTAACACCCCCAGCAAAAGTCCATCTTGTAAAACTTGTTGACAACAGAGGAAAACAAACAAAAAAGTGCCTCAGAGAAGGATGACACTTCATTGAATGTTAAACAATGAAAAAGTCACAAAAGAAAGGCCAGAAATTTCCAAATGCATGAATTTCATGGACAAATTTTAATTTATAAAATCAAGGACATAGTGAGCTCACAGAAAACTAAACATGCTATATTGACTTTGTAAGAAGACTAATATTGAAAATTTTTCAAAATTCAAATACATTTGAAAAGAGAATAATCATTGTAACATCAACTTGTGAGATAAAATATTAAGGAGCAATAAAAACATAATAATAACGTACTCGCCATGTAAGACCATAGTATCATCCATAAGCACTTTTCTCTTGGTGGCACTAGGTCTTGGTGCAGATCGCGCACGTTTCATTGATGCTACTTCAACGGGAGGAGTTGGTTTCATTTTGAAAACCGAAGATCTTCTTCCAACTGAAGCAATAAATTAAATTAATTCGTAAAAATATTCTCTATGAAAGAACAGCCCTACAATCCATGCTATTCTAGTAAATTCATATAAAGAAGATAATAGTTCATTTAGAGTTAAAAGCACTGCTACCTAAAATAGAAGACAACAAGTCATCATCATCAGGAACTGATTCTGCAGTTCTTAATCGAGGCCTTCCAAATGATTCGACTGAGTTTATACTCTCTACAGTTAGTGTACTTTCAGTTATACTTCGCTTTTTTCCCGAAATGAGTTTGGTTCCAGCATCAATTTCATCATTCCCTGCTAGGACCTCTTTGTCTGGGGTAGACTCACCCAGTAAACCACTTGGTGTGTCAAGAGGTCCTTCTGGTGCAGAAAGTAACTTTTCAGGTGCAGGAATGTCAGACATAGCACAAGTATTTGAATTTTCCAACTGATCATTACATAAAGCAGGTTCTGACATCTGAGTTTGGCAGGCTTCACCTGCAAAGATAGTAATTACCAAGAAACAATTTAACATGAAGTCATCATGAAAAAAATGAGGTCATTATATATACTATTAAAAAAATACAAATCTATGCAAGGCTACAAGCATGAGACTTGTAAAACAAACCTTGCACCTCAATGCAAGCTCCGGAAGCAAGAACTTCCTCCTCCCTTCTGGACAGATCTACCAAGTTTTGCTCTGCAGCAGCCAAATTATCAAATCCAAGAACTTGAACAGATGAGACATCTTTGAGAATAACAGGGTTTTTAAGATTTTCAGAATCGTTTGCTTCCTGAAAAGTTTGAGCTTCACCACCAATAACTGTTGTTCTACTGGGCGATTCCAATGGACAGAAAGGATTTGATGCTATTGCTTTAGCAGGTGAGCATGATTTATCAGTAGTTTCAGCATCATTGCCAAATTCAGATTTATGTGATGCTTGACCATTCTCCAAATAACAATCTGCTGTGGGCACAAAGGTGCTACTTGAACATGTTCTTCGAGCAGAGTCCTCTAAATCAAAGGTGACATTAGAGCAGCTAGGAGATTCTGCACATTCCCCATCAGTTCTATCCATTGATTGAATGACACCATTATGCACATGTTCCACCCTATCCAAACCATCAGGTCCTCTAATAGTAGTCCCAACAGCTGTTGTGTACTCTATAGACACAGCATCATGAAGAGACATTCCTTGTGGTTTAGCCTGTTCTTTCTCCATGTCACCAATATAGGAGCCATTCTCAGGAGGCATACTAAGTATAACATCATGATTTATATCATTTTGCAGAGACTGATCCACTGGATTGTTATCCCCTTGGGGAAGATTTGATTTATTAGAAGCATTTTCTACGCATTCAGAATTGTTCAATTCTTTAAGACTGTGATGTTCTCGTTCCGCATGATAACCACCAGCCAATGCCTCATGAACACCAGACAAATTACGCACCTCCACTAATCCAGTACCTGGATCCTGATCACCACCAGCCAGTGCCTCATGAACACCAGACAAATTATGCACTACCACTAATCCAGGAGTACCTGGATCCTGATCGTACGCAACAAATTCAGAATTTGCAGCTAGAACTTCAACCTAACAGCAAGCAAAACATATTTATCAAGGCAAGTCAGATAATAAGATGGCTAGAACATGAATTGCTTTTACAAGATGGACAAAAAATCAATTTAGAAGGAAATTGAGGTTTCTGTTGTGTTGAATAAACAACAAACCTGATCCCCACTGCAATCAATTGGCACAGCTTCTAAATTACTTGGATCTTGTTTTTGTAGTACATCTGACCCTTGAAGATCATACCTGTAATGACAGAAACAAGTAAGATGAGCCAGGAAATTCAAAATTATCAAAATGGTTACATCAATTAACCAGTGAAATAAATGATGGCTTAACAATAGCCAGTGTTTTGCAATCTACAAAAAAGGGAAGTCAAGCGACCACTCTACCAAAAATGATTAAAGGGAAAATAAGGTAAAATTGTATATGAACGTCAATATACAATATGATCTGAAAAAGAAGAGTGTGTTTGTATGAAGCTTACATTGAAACTCCACCATGTCCTGGCACTGCAACCCTATCTAGGACTAGTTCCTGCTCAAGATTAATCCAAGATGAGAATTTTCATTAGATGATTCGTGTTAGGGGAAAAGAGCACCAAGAAGAAGTAAAAAAGGTCAGTCAATATAACAAAGACAAGTTTAATACCACGGCCCCAAAGATATCAACTTTGAAGGGCCATAAACAAAACCATTTATTCAGCAATTTAAAGGATCCGAAGACCAGAGGATCCCCAGAAATATATTTCAACTTCAAAAACCGAGTGATCGAGGTTTTTAATTGTTCAAATGACCTATGAAATCATTTCAGTAAATTGACCCACTTCATACTTATATTTAGGGTAAGAATATAAACTTAAGCAGTTTTGATAATATTATTGCACAATCTACTTTCCCAACACTGTTAGTTAAAAAAAAAATCGTTCTTATACCCTTCAGAGCATCGTATTAACGTTGTCCCTCTAACAACCCACTCCCTTGTGGTCATAATTATTTTGCCAACAAGCCCAATTCATTTATTCTCAGTTGCTTTTTCTTCTAGTTTGTTAGTTTCATTTTTCATCATTTTTAGTAGTTATGACCTCAACATCTTTGCTGAGTTAGAAAATCATCCCGTATTGGTTGGGCTTTAAACATATATAAACCATTCTTTCTTCCAATAGTAAGAACATCTACATCTCCCTTCTAAAGAATAAGTAAATCAGCTAATCTACTGCCCCAAAACTCTAAAAGTAGTTGCTAATGTTATGCAATATTATCAAAACCCTTTAATTCCAATGGAGATTCAACATAATTAAATCTAGAGAAGAACAATAAGTGCTCTAAAAGAAACACATTAGAAGAGATTTTCAAGCAAGAAAAAGAAAGACCCAACTGCTCCTCTTCATTTCATTTTCATCCTTTTTATTTGGCTATGCAAAGAAGAGGAGGAAGCACCCCCCACCCACGATGTTTAAACACACATAATTGATATTAAAGAGGCAATAAGGCACAACTGCTTTCATGCCACCAACCCAAAAAATAAAAAATGAGTCTCAGCAAAAGATAAAGTGGCAGAAATGTCAAGGTATTCAAGAAAAGTCTACTATAAATCATGAAAAACTGAAATTGTATATATTAAGAAAACAGAAACTAAATACTCAATTAAGGTATAACTGATATTGTTACTTATTTTTGTTTCCTTCCGATAGAATATTGTCGAATACACTGTATTTTCTGCTTTCTTTAGTTTTAACTTTAGGAAAAGTATCTTATACACTAGCAGTGAAGATTTAAAACTCCACAGGGTTGTCACATGTTCCATGAGGGTATGTTTAAGAAAATTAATAGATTTTTATAAGAGTTAAATGCACATTGGCAACATTCTAACCCCACATCTGGAGTTTTAACTCCAGTGTCGGTGTATACAGTGATAATCAGTTAAGGTTAAAGTGTCAAGACTATTTAAAAATTTTCAGCTTTGCCGGAAATTGTAAATTCTGGATCTGTGGGTCCTTATATTAAGGTCCTGTTATCTTATTAGGTTTTATTATACTCTAGGGGTTGTTGTAAATCAATTTTTTATAGTTCCTATATTGGATTTTACCTCCTTCAAAGAATAGGAGTCCTTCAACTCAATAAATACAGATATAACTTCTTCTATTTTACGGAGAAGAGTTTGTGATGATTTCAATAGCTATTATACCTCTGTTTGGATTGCATAAAGCAACCTCAATCCTAGGTGTAGGATATAGAGCTGTAAAGAATATATCTCCATCTTCTTGTAATTCCTAGATCATCACTCAAATCATAACCAATTCAACATCAAAGTTCACCCCTAAACTCGAGCTACCATTCACTGGTATCATTCACAGATGCAAACAATCACCCAAATCAATTTGGTCTTTCTTTTTTGGCACACTTCAAGCTTAAATCCTTCCACTTAATCAACCATCAAAACTAATCATATTTTCTCATCCATGTAAGCCCTAAAATCAGATATTCTTGCTTGCTATATAACCATCTGTTCTTAATTTTCCAGGTCCTACATTAGTAAGCGTCACCCTGATTACTGACTACTTGCCATACAAATCACCAAATGTCAAGAAGCAAGAATGACACAATTACCTCATCGAGCAGACCAATCTGAGAAGTATCACCATCACCAAACCGCTCTGAAAGTATATCAAATGCAGAATTTTAGATTTACTAGTATTATGCTTACCGAATATAGCTAAATCTAGCATCATCACAGTCAAAAGCAAGTACTAACCATCCAATCCAAATTGGGATGTGGAGTAAACCACACCATCCATGGTATCTTGAAGCGTAATCTGCTCTCTTGAGCTAACGTGATGATCAACATAGTTACTGCCAATAAAGCTACATGTTAATAAACATACAGGACATCCACAGATACCTAATGAAAAGAATTGATGTATCTCATATTACCAAAGCAACACATAAATCAAGAAAGACAATCTAAAAGGTAAATATTAGGATCTAACCCTTGAAAAACCTCATTATCAGGCAGCTCAAAATCATCAAGATCAAAAGTCTCCGGCAAAGTGATTGAATGGTAGGGTGCAGTTGATTCTTCTGGCGGTAAATCAACTGCAGTGGAGCGAAACGCCTGCTTTATCTTTAGCAAGGCTTCACTGCAATCATCAAAAAGGTAATTCACCTTTCTAGAATATATCCTCACCACTCCAAGAAGAAGATGACTGGACAATCGTAGTGCAATTGGTACTTCAGGAAACAGAATAGAATCTGTTCAAAGCCATATAAACAAAAAAAGTTAAAGTTATAGAAAGAAGTAATTCAACCCATGAACATGAAAGAAATTAGATATTGGAACATGAAAAAATAAAAACACTGTCACCATTATTGTATAGCTTTGACCATGAGCAACAAAACCAACAAAAGAGCTGAACAAGCTCAAAGGAAGCTTCCTCCAAAGGGTAACCAAGTAAAACAATAAATTTTAAGAATATGCTAACATGTTCCGAACAGAAATTACTCCTACATGACCATAGGTTTCCAAAGAAACAAATATGACTGCCAACAAGATCCTCCAAATAGGTCCAAAGGGCCATGACAAGGAAGAAGCATAAAAGGACCTGAAGAAGATTAGTTCATGCATCACCAAGAATGAAAAGGAGAAGGCTATTAGCTTTTAAAAATTATCCCATAACAAATATTAAATGGAATTTTGGAATGAAATTTTCTGTTTCAAGAACCGGTAGGCAACAGACACGCATCTGAAGCAAACTATTCCGGCATCCACTCTACCCCATAATTTCTAGAGAAACCCTGTTTTACCAACTTGACTGCTGGGTTTAATCATCATGCATGCTGATTTTCAAGCTAATCTGGTATTTATGATTTCAACTCAGAAATACCACTTTTACTAATATATGTTTAATGGTTAAAACTGTTCTGATTTCGTCAAGCTGTTAGAAAATACTAAATAAACTTAAAACTATGAATGCATGACCATCACTAATTCCAATGGTTGATTTAATGTATATGATATTACAAATCAAGGAAAATGAAAGAGCATATCAATTGGACAAATAAGTAAGGCTTTATTAATAGCTGCTTGCTATTTATTTCCTAATAAAGTCGTTAAAAATTGAATCATTACTAAGTAAAATCAAAATTGATTAAGAATAAAGTAATGACAAAAACTCATTACCAATTATGAAGCAAATATCTTATCTTGTCTTAAAGTAAAACATACATTTTTTTTCTCTCCACAAAGATTACAGTTTCAAGCAACAATCAAAGAATACCTAAATAAATAACGATACAGCATAAAAGGAAGAAGAAAGAAAGAGAGGGGGCATATCCAAACAGCGTAAAGTAAACTAATCTCAGGAAGACTAAGATATTTCTCCATTAAGTGGCAAAGAATAAATTAATACAAGTAGACAGAGATAGATAGTCGCGAAATTCAAACTGAACAAAACTAAAAAGTACTAACCAACAGAGACACCAATGTCGGTATCCGCCACCTGATTCTTTCGAAGCTTCCTCTCCAGATGGGCTGCTATCCATATTGTCCCCAACGGACCTTTCTTCGCCAATATAAACTGTGAATAAAACATTTCTAACCCGATACAATCCCTATTTCTTCATACAACTTCCCCACTTCTAAATGTAAGAAAGCCCTGTTAGTTAAGCTTAAAATTACCGGTCCTACTTGGAAAACAAACCACTTTAAATTTTCGGTAGGAATTCAACAAACTCACAGAGCTCAAAGACAAGAAAAACCAGCCTGAATTTCAAATTCCCCATCCACCAGAAGAACCCTTAATTTTCCACTTTCAGCTACAGAAATGACCAAATTAAGCTCAAAATATACCTAAACATAGTAGAAACAATGAAACCCTAATTACTCCGCATCCACCAGAAAAACTTTGAAACCCTCCCAAAGCTCCATAACCCAAAAAAGGGCTCCATTTCTGCTCAATTTACAGAATCACCATGTGGGAGAACTTCAAAATATTGAACCTTAACGTAAGAATCCGATAAATAACTCCCAACTTGCGCTTCGAGAAGCAAACCCTAGCCTTCGACGAAACGACGTTCTGAGGAAAACTACAGCTCGATAATTGAGTTGGGGTAGAAAGAAAATTGGAGAGAGACAGATGTTAGAATAACGAGTCGGATCGGACAGATACAGATAAACGCAGATAGAGAGAAAGAAGAGAAGCGCTCTTTTAGCTTTTGTAATAAGAAGAGACTTCCTTTTTTTCCTTTTTTTTTTATTTTTTGGAAGAAAAAAAGCTTGGAATTCAACGTTTCGACTTTCGTTTTGGGTTCCTTTCTGTGTTGCTCAAGTCCATGTGAGTACGAAACGTGGCGCTTTTTCACTGGTTGTTTGAATTTTAAGGCTTCCGGAGTACACTTCGTCATTGCCTCATATCATAAGCTGTACAGTTCAAATTTTCCATTTATGATGTCAAATTTGTAAATTTTTCATGTCCTAAGTCAGTTTTTTCTTTTATATTGAAGTCACTTTTATTAATTTATTGTTCATTATATTAATTTTTTATTCCGGCTTTGCGTAGTCAATTTTTTAATATGTAAAAAATAAATTATTTAATTAATTGAATATAAATTTTTTTAAAATTTTATTTAAAATATAAAATAATTTCTTATATAACTCTTGAATTATTCAAAAATTCTAATATATTATCTAAACTAAAAAATTTCTAATTAAATTTTTAATGTTGTAATTCATCGATCAAGTTACATCAATTTTTAGCATCTTTAAAAAAATTATTGATATGCCTGTCAACTAATAAAAATTCAATATATATTCAAATCGTTATACATGCGAATGACATATAATTATTATTTTATAGCAATTTAATTATCACATATTATATTTAAAAAGAACAATTTTTTTAAAAAAAAATGACTTTTTTGAAAAATTTTAAAAACTTTTTTCTTTTTTATTTTTAATAAAAAGTTATACTTTTATTTGAAAAAAATATAAAATCAATTTTATTTATTTGAAAAATGCAAAATCGTAATTTAAAAACATATTTTTTAAATATTTTACTTTTTCACAATTTTAAAATTTTTATTATTTAAAAAAACTAAGATTAATTTCTTTTTCTTTTTTTCCTTTCTCTCTGTTTTTCTCCTTCGATTCCTTTTAACTTTGCTCACCTTAGACTGAATCGATCATCATCTAACCAAATTTAGTAAGTCAAAACTTTGATCCAATGTTAGATTAGTAAGACTATCTCTAAAGAGATTAAAAATGAAATAAATAAATCGAGATTCACAAATTAGACCCCAACTTGTTCAAGCTATTTCTTGACCTCTTTAAAAACCATATGGTTATTTTGATGTTAGATTGAAGTTCAAATGGCCAAACTTGATCAAATGATGATCGAATTCGATTCAAGATAAGATAAAATAAGGGAAGTAAAGAGAAAAAAAGAGATTAATTTTTGTTTTTTTATCACAACTTATTGTCGGACGTCCCAACACCAAGGAATGTGCTGACCTAAAAGCCAAACAAAAGGGGAAATTTTGAAAAAATTAGAGTTAAAAAATATTTTCAATAAAAACAAAAACATAACAAGTCACCATTAATTTTTTTTAAGATATGATTGGCCACATAAAAATTTTATCATTTTAATAAAACATTTTAAAACAAGTTTAAAAGTTTTAGAAAAAAAAAAACCAAATTTGTAGTTTGTAAAATCAAAGTTGAATTCGAAAGTCGATTACGTGTAGGAAAGAATTAGTACTCTCACAGTGTCTATCGAAGATGGTACTAATTAATTACATGTTATCTTTTAATTTTAATTAAAATGGTCCTATTTAATTAATATTTAAAATTAATTCTTTTTCTTCCTTTTCTTCCTTTCTTTTTTTCTTTTTTCTTTTCTTTTCTCTTTTTTTTAAAAACAAGAAATAAATTTAATTTAAAACAAAACATTTTTTTAAACAAAAAAATAAATCAAATTTAAAACAAAACTTTTTTTTATATTTGGATAAAAAAAAACACTCTAAATATCGAAATACTTTTTCTATTATCCTATAATTAGGTAGAATTTCCAAAATATTCCTAATCTAAAAGTTTTCACATTGCCCTATAAAATAAAAATAACACATCTCATAAATAATAATTATCATGAGTTATCATATAGTTAAGTAAAATCTCGATGATTATATTTACTTAAGATATTATTTTATTTTAAAAACATTTTTATTTTAAAAACTAATTTTAAAAAAAATGCATGAAATGTATGAATATAATAAAATGATAAATGCATGACAATATAATATGAATAAAATATGAATGCATGGGATGATAAGATAATATGAAATGCAAATGTATGAATGAGCTTAGGGGTTGTTTTAGGATTTAGATTAGGGTTAAGGTTAGGGTTTTAGGGTTTAAAGTTTAGGATTTGGGCTTAGGATTTAAGGTTAAAGTTTAAGGTTTAGGTTCAGGTTTTAGGGTTTGGATTTAGGGTTTAGGGTTTGTATTTGAGGTTTGAGATTTAGGGCTTTGATTTAAGGCTTGGGGTTTATGGTTTTAATTTTAGTGTTTGGGGTTTAGGTTTTGGATTTGGCGTTTGGAGTTTAAGGTTTGGGTTTGGGATTTCAAGTATGGGGTTTTGTTTTAGAGTCTCACAAAAAAAATTTTTTGGATTTTATGGAAATGACATAAAATGAATGCAAATTACAAGAATGTCATTAATGAATGCATATACCAAATCCATAACCTAAAAACATATTTACAAAATAAGGTATTTTCTAACTTAATAACACAAGTGTATAATGTATAAAAATTCAAAACATAAAACAATGCTTAAACATAAAACAAACTAAAAATAACAAAGAAATCATTAACACTTGAAGCATGAGCCAACACCATAAAAAATCACAAAACTAACTTATAAACTAACATATAACAAATGAACAATCAACCAAGCATACACAGGTAGTAAAATAAAATAAGAAAAACATTTAAAAGATAGAGCCAATATGAGGTTTGGCCATGGGAAAGGAGGTTGGCCGAACTTCCAACTTGGTTTTATCAATGGTGGATTTTGTTGTTTTTACTTGGATTTTAACTTTAAGCTAACTATGAATTATTTGGATTAAAATTAATTCAAGCTTTATGCAAGAAAAACAAACAAAACCTTTTAGAAAATTAGATAGGAGATGAATGAAATATGATGAACGATACAATGGAAAATAAATGGAGATGCTAGAAAAAGTGAGGATGAATATGGAAAAGAATACCTTTAAGCTAACCATCAAAATTTTTTCTTTTTTTTTTTCCTGATGGTTTTTCCTTTCTTTTTTTCCTTGTTATTTTTCATATTTCCTCCTCTAGTTTCATGCAGCAAAATCCCATTTCTTGAATAAAGAAAAAGCCAAAAAAAAAAAACCTATAAGATTGAATACGAACCTTATGATAAAAAATCATCTATGACTCACATTTCTCCCTTGTTTTGATTTCAAGAAACCAACTTTCACCATTAGATCCACCTTCTTAATATGATCTAATAGTCTATATTATTTACTATAATGATATGATTTTTATAACCCCTAAATCACATGAAAAGACCATTTCTCCTTTAGTGCAAAATTTTTTTGTATTTAGGTCATTTTCTTATAAATCAATATTTTAATACTCATTTTTAGGATTTTAAAACATCAAAAATCATAAAATATTATGAAATTAATATTTAAAAATTTTCGTGAAAATCCGACTTCGAAAAGGTAAAATTATGAAAATACCCATAAATTGGTATTTTGATAATTTCACACTCTTGGGGTACTGATGTGATTTCGATTGCATCAAAAATTATCAAATATTATAAAATCATGATATGAAAAGTTTCACAAAAAATCAACTTCTAAAAGATCAAATTATGAAAATGCCCTTAAAAGGTATTTTGTTAATTTTACACATTTCAAGGTACAATCAAGGTTTTTAAAATTTTGACAATCATCAAATATTATAAAATCATAATTTGGAGCTTTTAGCGAAATTCCAACCTTAGGAAAATCAAATTACAAAAATACCTTTCAGGGGCATTTTGATAATTTTACGCCTCCAAAGTGTGATATGAGTTTTTAGTGTATAAAAAATCATTAAAAAAATATTTATTTATGATCCAAAAGTTTTCACAAAATTTTGATTTTGGAAAAGTCAAATTTCAAAAATACCTTTAAGGATGTTTTGGTAATTTTATATTTTTTGAAGTACCAAAAATTTTTTTTAGTGCCTTAAAAATAAAAAATTTCCATTTTAAACTACATTGATTTGAATTTAGCTATGAATTTAAGGATTGGCCTAGGTTCTATCCCCTTTTATTTAGTTTGACCAAATTTGATTAAGTTTGACTAATTTTGACTTTGCTTGATCAATTTTAATCAGATTTGATCAAAGTTGACTTTGACGCATTTGGATTAAATTGATCCAAATTTTAATTTTAAAAACTTGAAAAATATTGAATTTGAATTGAGTTGAATTTTAAGCACTTCACATATGGCCAAAATTTTGCCTGAACAAAATTAAGTGTATACAGTTGCTCTTTTTTATATATTTATGGGAATCAGAAATAATACAAAGATTAGAGGCACCAATTCTGTCTAGAACCAAGGGTTGAGAGGATATTTATTTCTACTATCTCTTGCTTTCATGTTAGAGGAGGTTTTTTTTTTTTCTTTACATGTCTGGAAAAAGCTCCTATAAAATAGGCATTAACTTTAAAAAAATTTATTTGAAAAAGGGCTCCAACAAAATAGGTATTAAACTTTAAAACAAATCTATCCGAAAAGGGCTCCTATAAAATATATATCCAACTTTTTAAAAAAAATTGTCTAGAAAGAGCTCCTAAAAAAAGGCTTTTAACTTTAAAAAATCTATCTAGAAAGGGCTCCCATAAAATAGGTATCAAAATTTAAAACAATCTGTTTGGAAAGAGTTCCTATAAAATAAGCATCAAACTTTTTTAAAAACTATGTTGGAAAGGGCTCCTATAAAATAGACATCAAATTTAAAAAAAATATGTTTGGAAAGGGCTCATATAAAATAAGCATCAAACTTTAAAAAAGAATTTGTTTGGAAAGAGTTCCTATAAAATATGCGTCTATAAAATAGGCATCAAATTTTAAAAATCTATCTAGAAAGGGCTTTTATAAAATAGGCATCAAACTTTAAAAACTCTATTTAGAAATGGCTTTTATAAATAGGCATCAAGTTTTAAAAAATCTATATGGAAAGGGCTCTTATAAAATAGACATCAAACTTT